AGGGGCCCCTAAAAAAAATTTGCCCCGGGCCCCCGCCAACCTCTGGGCGGCCCTGTTGAACTTTAGGGCACTTGCTAAGAATATAGCCGCCAGATTACGACCTACCTTACTCAGGGTGTTAGCTAGCCCAGTGACTGTCCGTTTGATGGACTCTTCCCAATTGAAGTAGCTAAGGGGCTTTCCCAACTGGGTCTGCTGGACGATTTTCATTTTTTCTGATGAGAAAGTGCATTGCGTTTGATTTTATATTATTATATCAAAGAACGTTTTATTTACTTTTCCCCATTAACTATTTTCTCAAAATGTATCGCGTTTCATTCATATTGGGTGTGTATTCACCGGAAATGAAATGTACAAAACAAAGTGTAATCGTGTAAAGTGCATCCGTGTTCATTCACCGGAAATGAAATATACAAAACGAAGCCACCGTTGTTTGCATCTAAGGAGAAACACGTTGGGAAAAAACACTATTTATTCCTACACAAGGACTTTGATCGGTCAAAAAAAACTTTCCCAATTTACGTTTAACGGACAAAACGTTTTCTGGCTAACACCCTGTTGTTACTCTATGATATGGCCCTGGTTTCAATTCTGTTCCAAAGCTCACTTCCAATCCTCCCATTGGCGAGTAATTGTGCATGCACATAATGGCTGAAATCTATGTGGGAACCCCATAGCTGCAGACGACCTTTCGGTCTGAAAACTATCTGAATAATTGCGCATTTGTATTTCGTTGTCTAAAGTGCAATGAATAATTAACGATATATTTCCAACACAATCGCACGCAACGCGCAAGCTAGAATTATTTTTCAAACATTTCCAGTGATATATGTAAACACACGGGCATATTCACATTGTGTATAAATTTACAGCAATATGATTCAATTATAACCACAAAAATAGTTTAATATCGCTTTTATTGGGGAATTTATCTGAAATGTAAACAGTGCTTGCCACAAGCTGGTTTCTCCCGCAAAGAAAACGCATCAGCGCGGAATGCCGCCATATTAATTTTTTATCCCAATTTTTAGTAATTTCTTATTGCAAAAAAGCTTTTAATTACAAAAACTCTTTGTCTTTAAATCAATTTTGCTCTAAATTCGGCGTCTAAAAGACTAGTCTCTATTTATTTTACTGTATACGAGGATATAAACTTATGAAAAAGAAAGAAAGCAAATATATTTTGTTTTAAAATTGCCATTAAATTACAAATGTAAATGACTGGCCAACTCATTATTAATATTGGGCATATTTTTCATTTTCGAATATCTCCGCCGATGTTATCAACAAATAATAATCAATATGTTTTTGTATGCGTTTACTGTAATTCATTCTTTGGGAATTTAATATGGCAAAGTATATGCTAAAAGGTTCAACTTTATAGTTTGTGGACTTATGTATGGCTTATATTCGAAGTTTGTATATAATCCTGTCGAAATTCATCTGTCAATATTGGTATTACAAATGAATTTAGTTGTCGAAAATTACATATGTATGCAAATTATATACGTGTATATGTTTGTGTTATAATTGCAGATCGAGCTATGAAATCCGGGGGGGGGGG